TTTCTGGAATACCAAGATTGGCTACGGTGGCGCAAGCTTGTCATGGTAACAACTGGCTTCTACCTCGAGGACGACATTCAATCATTGTTCTCCTCAAGGATTKCTTACCTCTGGTTCCATTGCAAAGTTCTTCTATTYAGGATGAGTTCTTGTGGAAAAATTCGACCTCCTCGGAACCAGGTCAGTTCTCCGCCTCTCTAACATGGAATGCATTAAATCCGGGACTTGGTTTAGTTGATTGGAAGAAGGTTGTTTGGGTCCATGGAGGCATACCAAAGCATTCTTTTATGATGTGGCTGGTTATGCGAGATAGACTCACTACTYGRGACAGATTATTAAGATGGGGGTTGCAGGTACCTTCGGGCTGTCTTCTTTGTGATGAACCAAGTGAGACAAGGTTGCACCTTCTATTTTCTTGCCCTTTTTCCACTCAGATTTTACGAAATATTTTTGTGCATAGATCGCTATCACCTCCGCTCTGTCTTCAGGATACGRTTAATTGGGTCCAGAAAGCTTCAAATTCAGGGAGGGTTAATCACATTTGCTTGATGGCTCTTCAAGYAGTGGTTTATGAGATATGGAGGGAGAGGAACTCTCGGGTTCATTCTAAGGTTTTTAAACCAGTGGCTACAATTACAAAGGGGATCAGAGTTACTATGAGGAAAAAACTATATACCTTGGATAGGCTGGAGAAGGAAGCTTCAGGTCTTACGGCGGTGGATTCCTTCCTTTTTCTTTGGTTTCACTTCTTCGAATTTTTCAACTCCTCTGCAACGAGTTAGGCTTGAAATTTGTGTCTGTATAAAGGGGTTTGGTTTATGCTTCAGATACGACTTCTTGCAGGATTTTTCACTAAAACATGTTTTATTGGGCCGTTGGGGTTTTGGGCTAATGGGATGGTTGGGCTAATGGGATAAGGGTCCTTGGTCGGATTTAAATGGTATCCATGTAAGAGACTTGGAAAAAGGCTAAATAAAATAATATTATTTTAAAAAAAAAAAATATATGGGACATAATATTAACTCTAGTGTAAGATCAAGCTTGTAAACCAAAACGACTAAAATTAAATGATAGTACTTAGTTCCACTTTTCTCAAAATAAAAGTTTTTATAATATATGATCATACGAGTGGAGAGATTTAAAAATTGTTTTCTCATCATAAATTAAATAAATATCATTAGGTTTTTTTTTTTGTAAGTGTGAAATTTTGTAGAACTACATTATCTCTTATACAAGATCGTGAGAGTTAGGTTTTTTTTTATAACATTGTATCTTTTTTTTTTCAAGTCCTCCTTTATGTATAAATTTCTCACATAACTCTCTTACGAGTTGTCCTTCCATAATAACTATATATCCTGTGATGGTTGAATCTGTTCATCATGTGTCGACTTCCTCTCATCGTCCATGTTTGTATCGAATTTTTTTCTTATTTTCATATCTATATACTTGTGATTCACTTTTTAAATCTCTTCTATAATATGATTGAGAGAGACTAATCTTTTTCAATCTCTTCAATATATTGGTAGGTTTATATTGTCCCGCCCATCAAAACATAAATCGTTTTTTTTTTTGGAGTTCTGCTGTGTTTTTTTTTTTGTATGTTCTTTCTTAATAATTTCTTAAGAAAAGTGATGATTATTTGATCAGTGACGTCGCGGA